CCTGCCCTCCAGAGCGACTCCTGAACTCTTCCGTGAACAGATGCATGCTTGTGGAATGCTGGCTTTTCACTGCTGACGCATCCCACGCAGGATGGCTCCTTGCGTCCGGCCCCCTCTCTGGCTGCACGCGCTGTTTCCAGCTAGCGACAAAGTCCTTCATGCAGGTGGTCACATGCTTGGCTGCAAGGGTGGCAAGACGACAAGCTCAGGCGCGCCGCGCTACCTAAGCACCATCGCTTGCGAAGCGTCGCTCCACGAAGGTGGAGGTTGCAACCAACGGGACGAAGATAACGCGCAGGAAAGGACAAACCTTATGACTCAGATGTTTGTTCTTTTTCTGTTGGCGCACCCTGGTGAACAACTTAAAATTACCACCGCCGAGGTGCCAGGATGGCTCCTCAGTAACAGCGCTGAGCATGCCGAGAATGTCATAGCACCCATCGAGCAGCCTGGCCAGACCTCCGTGAGAAGCTATGGATCCATTTCATTGACAACACTGTGGCCAAAGATTCTTTGATCAAGGGAAGCAGCCCTAACGCAAGCCTCAGCGAGCTCATGCAAGCAACCTGGAGAGAGGTGGCGCTTTGCAATCTCCATTTGTGGGTGGAATGGGTGAGCATCACTGATAATCCCACGATCAAGAAAGCTGCGGATGCACTGATGATCTTTACATGAGCCGGGATGGCTGTGTGTGCCTCCCGGATCTTGGATTACATACCTGCAGCCTCCGGAGGCCACCACTTCGATGACATAACCAGATGCAGGATCTCAAATTCAGATATTGAAGTCAAACTTTTGGCATACCTATTTCCCCCAAGAGTCTGCTAGAGCCTGCTAGAGAAAATGCTGAGCGAGTTATTGCTTGTTGTCTCAAGTTTCTAGTGCTAAGGAACTGGGACTGTAGCGCAGTAGCAGTACGCCGATTTCCGTTTCCTGAAAGTTTGCAAGTTTGCAGGTTTGCATGCTTGATTCAGGACAATGGAGCATGGCAACATACAAGCACTGCGTGGGTACGTGGTTGTTTACTTGAATTGAAATTAAAACCCTTTTGTTTCTTTTGTTGGCATGTCGCCTTACACTGACACGCGTGGTGTGAGAGGACCTGCAGTCAGGGCGTATGTATGACGTGTGTGTCTTGTATAGTTCTATGGTGTGCAACCGCTGCGCGCAATTGCCGTTATTCCCTCAACATGCAATGACGTCGCCATACCTCTCGAAAACATGTTCGTGGCTCGAGAGGCACTGGGTCAAGTCATCGCTGTAAGCAGAGGCCTAGTGGTACTCACGATGCCACAAGGCTTTGCTCTTGTCTTGTTCAGCTACCGCAGTGCTTTATTTGTTTTGGGGCCACAAAAGACAGATTGTGGCTCGTGCTCGATGGTGAGCAAAGCATCTTATATTATGTAAATGACATTCCAACTTCACGCAAGAAACGAGCCCATGAACCTTGTGAATCTAGCAGGGTGGGCTTTCCAGCAGATGGCCCCTCCCTGAGCCCAATCCATGAAACTTTCTTTAGTGCAAACCTCCCAGTTTCACACGTATCCAGGTAGGCGACTTCGCAGCACCTTCGGTGACCTCAAAGGCCTCGCGTGCTCAAATTATCGGTTGCCATGTTTTCAATGGGTGTTGAGGGCTTAGGGCTTAGGGTTATTGGGGAGCTTTAGGGAGGGAATAAGGAAGAATCTGCGCTTGAATGTGTTGAGGGGATTATCTTGGCTCATATAACCTGCAAAAGATGGGTGCTTGAGGATAATCTGCTGTACAATCCACAGTGAGTAAAATTGTGGGCTTACACTGGGTGCGGTTAAGAGTCAGGGTTGCGCGGGGCAGGTTGCGGGTGGTCAGCAGGGGAGTAGAGCGGGTTTCGTGAGGGTTCCAAACGCCTTGAGGCTGGACCAGCCTCGGCGAATTACGGTTGTTATCAGTAAAAGCGCGCTTGTAACGCAGACGCATGCAAACTCGGCGGCCACATGTATCTTGCGTGCATGTGCCCTGGCGGCATCTTCACTACTGAGGGTTAACCATATTTAGGGCTTGGGGATCCGTAGAGTTTCTACTCAAAGGGTGCCTTTTTTTGTGCGTTACACATCTGTTCAGCACGAATGTAGACGTAACATGTCTTGTTAAGCCACGGTGTAACGTACTTTCCTGACGTGATTTTAAGTTTGTTTTCCTTTTCGGCTCTGTGAACCAATGTTTTTGACAAGTTGCGAACCATTTGCACCAATCGCTCAACTTGCGATCCTTGATGTTCAGCAGGAGCAACGTCTTGAATTTCAGTTTCAAGATTGTTCATCCTCCGAATCACCTAAACGGGACTTTGTTTCCCGACGGCAGCACCGGGGATTCCGTGTCTGTTCTCATGATCACGTGCTTCGATAGCAACATCAGTACTTTTCAGACTTCTTCGATTGAATGTCGTATAACTTACCTGGGTGGTACCGGAATATCATGAACAAACTACGTCTTTGGCGTTCTCTTCATCGCTTGTCCCGGTGAATTTGAAATCCATGCTGACCGATGATCCATCATTTGGCTTTCCAAAGCTTCGCAATTACCAACTCTTCTCCGTGTGTCCCCACAGTTTTCAAGCCAATCTGCTTTCGGCAAATGGGTGAGCTTTGCTGCAAACTCTTCTCGAGTGTCGGCTTATACAATTCTTTCGGTCCTTTCGAATCTCTCGCAATTTCTTGCTCAATTGACTCTTGAGCTTCGACTCTGCTCTGTCGGGCGCGCAGCGGTCTGCACGTTGTTTGGCGAAAGCTGTGCAAGAGGTGAAGTAGGAGAGCCTAACAGCTAGTTACAGCCTGAGGGCTGAGGACCTCTACGAACTCACTGAACCCCTCAGCTGCCCCGTCGACGCCAAAAAACACTCCTAGGCATATGAGGCTCTTACGAAACTCCTCATTAGCTGGAACTTGCACGCTACGGTGCACCTACTGAGACTCAGAATCTTCTTGCCTCTCCTCATGAGGAGGTGGAGACGGAAACTTAGTTTTTTGTCCTGGGAATGCCATGTTCCCCGAGTTTAAGGAGGCAGTAGCACAGCAAACCTCGCACTCCAGAAGTGCTCTATCCCCTTTTTGCGCCGGGATCAGGCTTTTCCTTCCTTTCTCTGAGGGATCCGTGAGACGCCGCTCGACCCTCTATGCATGGCGCTGTGACATCTCAGACCAGGCTCTCCATCTTGCCCAGCAGAAGCTCTGACTCATGCACATACTCCGCAAGTGCTGGGCCCTCTTGCTCCCTGCGGACCTGCGTCTGTCTGTCCCGGTCCAGCTGCTCAGAAATTGAAGTGGTTCAAGATTTCGCTTGTTTGTCTCGATAGACCTTTTGCAATGTCACTGTTGCGGAGTGTTGACTTGTAGCCCAGCATCACAGTAGTGTAAGATTTCCTCGATCAACAGAATTTCAGTGGCTGAAATAGGTCAACTTCTATCAAAATAGATTCACCATGCAGCCAGTCATCTTACAGTTTACTCTTGATTGTTTTCTCTGTAGCATTCTTGTGTTGTGTTCGCGGGCAAAGCGTGAGCCCTCACAACATGGTCCCTTGCAACTGCAGGTTTGTCGGCCAATGTGCATTCAAATAAGGCACTGGGTATTGCCGGAGGTCGACCAACACCAGCTCTTCTGCCCTGGAAATCCTGAAGCTTGTACACCCGAAGCTCTGACAGGCATCCCGCAGGAAGCAGGCGCATTCGCCTCTATCCCCGGAGAAGCTTCGCGTGAAGGCCGAGTTAGCCCTGTAATCTGGCCCCAACACCCCGACCGTATCAGCTCCGTGCTGTCCAGTTCGGCCTGGCCGGCAGCAAGTACGACGACAACATCGCAGCACTTCAGAGCCTCGAGACGCCGGAGGAGAAGTACGCGAAAGCTTTGGAGCTGTCCGGTGGGGAAGAAGCACTCAGCGACTTCAAGAGAGAAAGTGCCCCGGCAGTGTTAACTCCCACATGAGAAGAATGCAGTCAAACTAACAATTTTCTATGATGACAGTTATGGCTCCCTCGGTCGGCCACAGACCAGCCCGAAATGATCCGAAGCTCAAGCAGTGGGCAGGTAAGGACCTCCAAGAGAAGTACGGCCTGCACGATGCCCTCAAGGCACTGCTTCCGAAAGGCGAGCGCACCGCGCGGAGTGTGAAGGCTGCGGGAAGGAGGGCCTGGGTTTCCTTGCCTGCTTGCTCAAAGAACAGCTCCGTGTGGGATGCAGATCAACTACCAGCCCTTTCACCAGACGTTGAACGAGCTCATCCAGTTTGTTGAGGAGGATATCCGGTGGATTCGTCACATTTTGTCACGTTTCATTCAGCCTCAACATGTGACGAGAAGGAGAAGAGGCACTTCTTCAAACTGGTGAGGAACTTGGCCAGATGCGCAAATGGCATCTACTTCAAGCCACCTCTGAAAGGTGCAGAGCGCCGCTCGGATTGAAAGAGCCCACAGCCCACACCCTCCACCCCTTCGCATAGACGCGAAGGTACCAGATTCTAGCAACATACGCGACGCAACGCCCAACACCCTGAAAGCCAAGCCCCTGCAGTCTGCGGAGTGCTAGCCGAGGTTGCGCAGCGAAAGCTCACTTGAAGTATGTGGACAATGCCGGCAGCGTAGAATGGGCTTGCTGAGTTGAATGCCACCAGTTGCTTTACGAGGTGTGCTGTTGAATGGTTTGATCTTGAAATGCTAGATTTGTGCAAGTAACTTGCGGGGCTATAGAGAACTGCTAGCTGCAAAGCTTTCCACAGGCGACTGGCACAGACACAGTCAGAATCAGCGCGAACGTATGGTTCAAATTGATTAGAAAATCTGACAGACTCGGCCAGGCACCGCCTGACAGACATCGTCCGCGACACGATTGTCTTCGAGAACGTGGCTGACATGTACCAGGGCCTCATGCTGCTGGAGGAGGAGATGCCATGCACCAGTCCCATTGGCCCTATGTTGTTGGCTTTCTCTTGTGCTTCAGTGACTTGTAATTATGGAGTCTCCATGCAGGACAAAACGGTTGAAATTATTGAATTTAACGATCGGCCAGAGCCTAAGTGTGCGTGCTCCCTCTCAGTTCTCTGACCTACAAGTGGGAGACGCGTCTCGCTCCCTCCCTCTCTTTGTTTCCCCAGGTTCCAAAAGCCTTTGGATGGTGGATACCGAGACTTACAGCTGACGGTCTGCGTTGGAAGTGGGCTCATGTGTGAGCTGCAGCTCAATACCAAGTTCTTCTTCTTCGTGAAGGACGGTGGGGGCGTTCGCGTCGTCTCTCTGCTTGGCACGACTTAGCAGGATAGGCTTGCCCCAAGTTTTCTTTGCTGCTCATCCCCGCAGGAAACTTCTGGCCACCGAGCGTTCGAGGTCAAACGGCAGCTAGCGGCCGCTCTCTCCCACAACGACACCGATGCCTGTCTCAAGACTTTGAAGTGGGCCGAAGACCAGCCAGAGGCAGCTGCCTGCATGTCGTGTGTGTACACAACTTTTGCCTCCAGAACCTGTGGGACAGAGCCTGTAGTGCCCAATCATGAGGCTACCCGCGCCGTGCTCGATGAACGAAGGTCTCCCTTGCTGCATTGCGCAGCTGCAAATGGAAATTCCGACCTGGTGCATCTTGACTTATTTTGAATTCAAGCTCCGCAAGAGAGTGCCTGATACTGCCTTGCAGAGGGCCGAGGCAAGAATCATGAAGGATTCAATGGCAAACAAGATTGTCAGGATAAGGAGTCTAACGATGCACTGTCTGAGCTGCCTTGCTAAAGCCTCATGGGCCAAGTTCCCCGTATTCGCCGCGGAGCCATTCTCCTCGCTGTTTTAAAGCTGATGACAGCAAGGAGCCTCTTCCTCAAGTACAATGCGGATGTCAACCTCACCGATCAGCAGACCGGGCGAACAGCTTTGCACGAGGTGCCTTACCAGATTTCCTGTGTTGCCACTTGCTTTTGCGCAGTCTCTGCCTTGGTTGCCTCAACTCAAACTTTCTTTCAGGCGATGTACCATGGGCGCTCCTGTGCCGCATGGGCCTTGATCAGCGCTGGTGCCTGTCAAAACGCACTGGACGCTGACGGTCACACAGCCCTGACCCTGGGACACTTGGCTGCACGAATAAGGTGAGAATGCGGTCTCCGTTCAGGCTTTTGGGGTTCCCTGCCTTTGGCCGAATTAAGGCCGCCTCCGGCAGAGAGTCTTCCCGGAGAGTGAGCCGGTCGCAAGGCGAGCGACCAGCGCAAAGATGCGGGGTGTGGGGCATCAGACAAAGGGTTCGGTTGAGCAGTCTGGTTGGGGTATGTTGGGGTTATTCGCGCGTGTGCAGGTGTGTGTGCATGCTGTCGCAGATGCTCGGCGTTCAGGACAGAAACTCTCGTCAAAGTCCGGTGCGTGAGCTCAACACATACCCGGCACTTGCAGGAGCTGCAGCGCGCCACCAAAGCCTTCGAAGAGGAGGTGAACAGGCGACTAACGAACAGCTCCGAGCTCGTCACCTTGCCCATCACTCAGCTGCTTTGCTTATGCACTGCTGCCTCCGCACGCACACGGGCTGAGGGCCTTCGACGGGGACGAGGCCAAGGTGCTCGAGAAGCTGAGGGAGTGGAAGGATCCCAACAGCGAAAACGAGAATGGCCAGCGGCCCTTGCACCAGGTGCAATATCCGTGCAACCCTCCCTCCGTCCTCCAGATTTCTGCGCGGCATCGGTTCTTCCCCTCTGTCAGGCGCTCATCAAGGGCCACCTGAAAGTCGCGCGGCACCTGATGCTTTACAAGGCCGACCTTTGGGAGAGGGTCAACGACCAAACGGCCGTCTCGCTGGCGCTGGAGCATCCCGATGGCCTCAAGCTCCTGATCGACACGCACCCGGATGGCAAGGCCCTGGCCCCAGTCGGGCGCGGAATGGCCTGAAGTTGTGTTGGTGCGCATGAGCCCTCTGGCCAGAACGCCTCGGACCTGGCGTCCGGAAGCCGGGAGCTCGGCCCTTTGGGGGAAAGCAAGATAAAGCAAGTATGTTACTGGGGCGGATCGGAAACAACCCTACACCTCTAGGCCTGCGAAAGAAGACGGAACCTTTTGGGGAAGCGAAGTGGAAGAATTGCCCCCCCGTCGCCACGCCAAGGCAGCAACGCCCTCTTCCGCGCTGCCAAGGCCCTGAAGGAGCTGCTGGAGAGAAGCGGCGAGGCCAGGGCTGCTGGCGGGAAGGAAACTTTGCCGGGCATGAAGCTTTTGGATGCCAGGCTGTGGAGCCGGACGCTTGCGATGAGAACGGCCTGGAGCCTGGACATGCATCCTCACAAGATCTGGCAGGGGCCGATGCTCAAAGCCTTGCTGTAGGAAAACAACTGGAACAGCCCGGCTCTCTAGGTTCCCACTAGATGACAAACGATGCCTTACTTGAGGCATGCCAGCGCTGATCCTGGCCGCCGCCACGAACCACCTGGTGGCCCTCAGGGCCTTGCTAGAAAGGGGCGCAGACAAGGCCGTTCTTGAGTTGTCTTACTCCTGATCCTTTCCGTAGTCGCAGCGGTTCTCTTTGAGAGTCAAGTGTTGTGCGGCCAGGATGTCAAGAGCTCTAAAGGTTGCGAGCTCGGCTTTGCATGACGCAAAGCATCGGGTTTGCGGCTGCTTTTTTCCCCAAGGCGTCACAGCCCTGATGCTGGCAGCCGCGCACGGCCGAGCGGAGTGCCTCCGGGAGCTGCTCCGGCACGATGCGGACAAGGCCCAGTTTGGCAGTAGTGTTTCGGCTATTGTGGTTTGGAAGCATCTGGTGCTGGGCAGATCTGCCCCCTCCATCCGAAAAGCCAACAGATGTTTGTATGTCCTGGTGCAAGCAGGGTATGAGCACGGAGCGCGCAGTTTGCAGAATCAAGCTTGATTTGGACGACACTGCGAACGTGCGGAATGAAAAGTGGAGTAATCCCTCAAAATCTCCAGTGACCCAGGTACTCACAACACCTGGACGTAGCCTCGCTTGGTTCAGCACCTTTTGACTGGAAACTACAACTTTGTTGGAAAATTGCTAGCGGGCATCATGTAACATTTGGCACTGGATTTGATCTGTGCCTACTGCCTCCGCGTAGCAATGACAGAGCTTCATGAATTATATCTTTTTTTACACGTACGTGTAAAAAAACAAGACCCTCCTACCCATCTCAAGAAATGTATTGCGCTGTGTTTGGCGTCAATCGCCTCAGGACATGAAGCGAATTGGCCTCAGAAGAAAAGGACACAAGCGTTCACACACCCTGAGGGGCAGGAAGGTCAAGATGCTCTGACAGCTGTCTGCCAATCTGCCTGACAATGCTGCCCAGACCACGGGTCACCCGTTCTGACAAAGAAAGGGTCATACGGGAGGACCATGGAAATGATTCGGGGCTTGGTACGAGAGTGATTGCAATGTGAAAGCATCTCAGCACGTTGTTGGTACAGCTGCGTCGCGTTGGCAAACACATGGTGCAACATTGTGTCATCATAGCCACACCTCTTCAAGCGGTTGCGGAAGGCGCCACTTGTGTCATTGAATGATTGAAGCGAGCTGTTTGTAATGACATACCGACGGATTTCTGCCCCAATCCATGACCGAAACACCGTTGCAGGATGGTTCGAATGGAATGGCAAATAGCGAAAAAGGTTTGCCGGCTTGAAGTATGTCTCGCAAGATAACTTGGATCCATGCCTGGTGATCTTCACGTCAAGTGAAAAATGTGGATGAATTCCATCGCCTGATATTCCGGGGCGCATTGGTTGAAAGTGGTTTCGATCATGGCCGGGATACCGGAGTCAATCCGTCCTTCCAGAATAATTACAACGTCATCCCGAAAGCGGCCATAGAAGACCGCACTAGGCAAGATGGGCAGGAGGGAAGCATCTTGCTCAATCAAATGGCCAGCGGTGATATCACAAGCTTCCGATGCAAAAGCCAGGGCGTGTCCCATGCGTTTACACCTGAGTTTGATCCCGTTCGCCGCGGGGTACTGGTGCTGCAGGATGGTATACGCCAGGTCAGCTACAGCTAATGCATCATGAAAGCCCGCGCGTGATAATGCAATGCACGCATTTTTGCAACCATTTCGGGGGTAGTGCTTGGCTAGAAATCAACGGTATCACCACTGCCAAGTACACAGTCGTCCGGGAGTTGAAGAGCTTCCAGCTTGGCAACAAGTTGCGCTGAGTTTCTCAGTACGAACCCAAGTTTTGCAACCAACGGTGCTAACCTCATCCTCACGTACTGCGCCATCGGAGTCAGGATGTTGGATGAAGTTGGTCTGATAATGCGAGGTACCTGAACAGTTTTGTGGCTCTTCCAAGATGAGCTGATTTCCATCAGCTTCCATTTAGCATCAACCTGTTGATGGAGGAATGCCAGTGTTGACCTCGGGGTTTTCGTCGCATCCACCTTAGTCAACGAAGATCGCAAACTGTTGGCAAGATGAAGGCGGTTGCAGACAGCAAGTTCAAACTGCACGGTATTAGAACAAGCTTGCTGCTTCAAACCATGCAAATAGCTGCCCGTCATGGGAATCAACGCTGTCCGCTTGTCATCCTTGATGATTCCATAGTTATTTTCACGAAGCCAATGTAGACCTAATCTGTCAATCGCGCTCAGGTTCGAGCGCGGTCGGTGTCGCTGTAACTGAATGGCGGCATCACGCTTCTTCTCGGCTTGTTGCTGGTGAGATCGGGCTAACGCTTTGCCAAATAAGAGATGTTCATGACTAGCATCAACGATCTTCTGGGCTTCAATGATCCAAACATCCTTCCGGAAGTCATCTTGAAGGTCCATCTCAATGAAGGCTTTGTATGTTTCATTGAGGCCCTCAGTGACTTGTATGCTGCATGAGGTCAAAGAAGCATCATTTCGTAACACATCCAGCTCAGCCGCCTTAGCCTGCATCATAATTTCAATGCGGCGATCGACGTCTTGGTCATCAATTTCAGCAACCAATGCGCCAAATGTTTTACCGCGTGGACCAAGACTTGTAGAGCAACGACTGCCAACAATTTTTGAGGGGATTTGCATCTTACTCAAGAATCTTGGTAGCATGTGAGAAATCTTCCATTCCTGACATTGTGCACTCATCCCTTCAAGGTGATCACGGGCGGAAAACGCTCCCAAGCGTCAGCTTCAAAATGCTCAAAGATTGTGAGAGCTGAAGAAATGCAGGGAGAAAAGGGAGGCCACCATGATGATGGGCATCTGATACGCTGTATCTGGGATCTCATTGCTGAATGAACGGCATGGTCTGGGATATGACCCTTGCCAGCAAAATGGACGGCACAAAATAATTTTCGCTTGAACTCATGCAGTGCAGCAGCAAATTTGTGAGATGATGGAAGTTGTTTCCGCCTTATGAAAAATTTCGGCCCTTTGCTTAGCAAGAACTGCGCGCAATCAGGCAGGCAACGTGGAGGGCCTTCATGATTTCGAACATGATCAAATTCAAGTACACCAGCTGAATCATCATGGACAAAATAATTTGCAACTGACCAAAACGGCTCATCATGAAGTTCGTGGAGGAACTTCCCAGCGTAGTGGAGCAAGAGAGCCTTCGGGTCATCAATAATTGAATTAACTGACGATCGCTGGTGCTTCCGAATTCGGCGCTGCTTTTTCTCTTTCAGCGCCGCTGTACGTAGTATCTGCTTCGCCACTTCAGCTGAGATGCGGTGCGAGATACTCCTTGACTTCCCCGCTTTATTCGCGGATTGAATGGGGTTGTACTCCTTGATCTCGGCTTCCAGCTGGAACTTGATTTGCCGTTCTTGCCTTTGCCTTTGCCCTTGTTTTGGTAACCTTTCTTCTTGCCATTGCCTGTCATGTGAATGAATGCACTCTGCCGGCTTGAACTGCGCGAAAACCCCTTCTTGCCTTTGCCTTTACCTTTAGCTTTGGCAGATTGCTGCTATGTCGATCTCGCCGAGGATGAGGGGTGCCGGCTATGATTGCCATGGCCGAAAGATTTGGCTTTACCATGACCTTTGCCGTGTCCTTTACCATAAGGAAACCGCGTTAATCCGAAGAACTTGCCATGATCACGCATGAACTCCGCTTTCGCCTGGTGCATCTGAGCGAAGAGCGGTTCAGACATTGATTGTCTCAAGCCTGGATTATCTTTCCCATTGCCCCTCATCATCGAGGAAACCTTGGATTCAATGATGAAGTCAAACTGTAAATCTTTGGGAAGCTGTGCAAACTGGCTCTTAGCATTCGCGATGCATAGCTCGTGCTCTAGAACTAGTCGCCACCCATCTCTAGGTCAAGATTGTTAATCTGCGCGGTCTGGCAACAGTCCATCTGAAATAAAACACGTTGTAGATGCAAGAGGTAGATGGAATGTGCTAAGTTATCGTTGCAGAACAGATCAAAAGACCACAACAAGCTAAAACAAGGCACTAAAGTCACTAAAGAAGCAAGGACATGGTTCAGAGAAGATGTACATGACATGCACCTGTCAAGGGGTTACAAGACTTGCAAGACTGGTTGAGGGCATTCTCATGCTCGCGGTTGGCTTTTTAGTCAAGACTTGCATTGCTTGAAGCACAGCGCTCCTGCTGCCAATTGGAAAGCTTCGGCCAGGATGTGAAGGACAACTCGGGCGAGGGCCTCACATGTATGGATGGCAGTCAGAAGTAGGTTGAGCTTGAAGAACATGTTCGCCGGTGATGCCCGTAGAAGGCAAACACTTCGCTCTGAAGCATGGCCTTGGAAATGTCCATATAGCGAAAGACTTTAAGGTCCAAGTTGGCATGCGGTGTACGGAGCGGCAGTCTGAGGCAACACGGCGTTGATCCTGGCCTCCGAGGAGGGCAGGCGCGACTGCCTCGAAGCGCTGCTGCAGGCAGGCGCGGACAAGGCGGGCGGCCTTGTGATGCTGCTGGCACCCTGCGCTGGTATTCCTGAAAAGCCAAGACCATGGCCACATTTCCCACCTTCAAGATACAGGATGACCCATGACCTACCGCATAAGAGAGAGCTTCCGAGCTCACCAAGGAGTTGAAGAACAAGGATGGCCGGGGCCTTGGAGATATCATTTTGAGTGAGGTCCCAGTATCCCCAACATTAGGTCGTCGGTCTTCTCCACAGCCTCCCTTCAGCTGGCACCAATATTCGCTGATATTGTCTTCTCTGGTGTGCTTCAAAGGGTGGTGCCCGATGTTACCTTGTCCCGCAGCCCAAGAGTGAAGACCCACAAAACCCTTCGGCGGGCTTGCTTGGTGGAGGCAAGACGGCGATGGAGAAGGCAAAGGACGAGGCTTGTTTAGGAACACGCTTGGTTTCGGCGGTCCTTGCACTACGACACTAAGAGCTCTGTGACTGTTGAGATGCGGAGGGT